TGTGTGTGTGTATATGTATCTGTGTGTGTGTGTGTGTATATAAATGTCTATATATATATATATGTGTATATATATATGTATCTAAATGTGTGTGTGTGTGTGTGTGTGTGTGTGTGTGTGTGTATATATATATATATATATATATGTGTATATATATGTATCTATCTATGTGTGTGTGTGTATATGTATATATATACACATACACATCATGCTCTTCCCTCATGCTTTAAGCTGGGAGGACGTAATAGGCTGTCAATTCTGCCAAGCTGGAAGATATCACAGGGGCCTGATTGTGCTCCTAAAGGGCCGCGGCACCCGACGGGAGCCCTGTACAGCGATAGAGGAATAATACCCTTTGTGTGTCCATGAGCCCCCAAAAGAGTGGGGCACTGGTGCAGCTGCACCAGCTCCACTGGCAGTAGTTCCACCACTGCATGTAGCAACAGCTTGCTGTGATCAGTGCCCATTCAGGACCACAGGAAGGGTTTTAAAGTGCTAGTTGGAGGCTGGTAACCATTCACTTTATGTGTTGTTTATTTCTGAATGAGATTAATTTGTTTATTAGTTGCTATGTTATCTGTATTACATTCTTATTATGAGTGTCTCTATTATTTTTGAAAACTCTCAATAAAACGTTTGATTGAAGAAAGATATTTATTTGGAAGTTTGCTGTTGTAGAAAGGAATGTCTTAACCGTGGGTGATAGAGTGATGTCGGGATTAAGAATCTATATTTATATGTGTAAAGTATCCATGTTCAGCATTCCTTACCATATGTTTTTCCTCTGTGTCAAAGTCCAATTTTGGGCCACACACACCTTGGACCAGTCTGTGGCTTCCATGTTCCTAGTCTTTATTTCCTTGGAAAACGAGTCATTTTTGTAACGAAGGAATAAAAATATTTCACAGTCAAAATACTTCCTAATTGAATTTCCAGCTGCACAAGCCTTCATCACCTCTAGAACACTGTACATGGATTTAATGTACATTGACAACAGTCTTTATTGCTGGCTCAATAGGCTATTGCTCTGCCTCCATTGTATTTTCATTTCTGTCCTCGCTCTGGATCCGAGACCTAACCATGGATTATCATGTGCTGAGGAGAGAAAGGGCTCTGACGCGAAATGATTTTCCTTCTGGTTCGGCTCAATCTAGGTATTTTGTTTAGTACAGTTGTCAGTGAATTACTTTCATCATTATTTTTTTTCTTTACCTAATTGTTTAATATGATGCTTGCCTGAGGTGTGCGTGACAAATAACATAGGACATACATGCTATGGATGACCTTTGGTACTCCAGCTGTAGACTACAATCCCATTGGTCCTCAGTTAGCCAGAATAGCTATCTTATGACACTCCAAGTGATTTCTTTCCGTGAGTTGGTATATCGTTTTACTGGAGTGACATATTTTATTAATCTACCTGGTCCTGAAACCCTGGATAGCTTCAGGAAAGGCAGACATTTTAATGCTAAATATATTTATTAAAACAACACTCCACATACATATAGCACTTTAGATTTCTGATGTGCTATATGTATCTGGAACCTGTCACTCCCATTTGTGACATTTTATAAAAGTGTTGATTTTAATAGAAATCTGCACATTTATATTTAGGCCAGAAACACCTTCCTGTCTGTCAAAAAGACAAGTAGTTTTTTTCTCCTCTATGTGGGCTCCATGCAGGGCCAGTGCAAGGATTTTTGACGCCCTAGGCAAAAGAAAGGTTCTCTGTGTGTAAGGGAAGCATGTTGTGTTTCTGTGTGGGATGCATTGTGTGTGTGTGTGTGTGTGTGTGTGTGCGCGTGGTGTGAAAGAGCTCCCTGTCCTATAGAGCTCTCCCTTCCATCCCTTAGAGATCTCCCCTGCCTCTTAGTGGTCTCTACTCTCCCCCCACCTCCCTTAGTGGTCTCCTTTTCTCTCCGACTTTCCATTAGTGGTCTCTCGTCTCCCCCTTAGTGGTCTCTGCTCTCCTCTGCCCCCCCTTTCCATTAGTGGTCTCTCCTCTCCCCCCACCCTCCCCTACTGGTCTATCCTCCACCCCCCCTCCCT